CGATTCTGGTATCTGCAAGGAAAGCCTCCAAAGTCCTTGTGAATAAGGTGTGCCAGTTGGCCCGGTGATGAGGACGTTGAGCTGTGTGAGATCGTCGAAGGATAAATCTGTGCTGGAGAAGGGGAAAAGATAGCAAGGCGGAAGCTCAGTGGAATGAAGAATGGCATGGTCGGCTGCAAGCCTGCGGAGCGTGAACGTGTTCTGCGAAGAATGGTTAGGACTGGGTGCATCGGATATGGCTAGAAGTGCCCACCATCACTCTTGGCGAGTCTTTCTATAAGAGGCGATATGTTCTGTAGGTGTAGGTGATCGTGAGTCGTGTATTCGTCTTTTGTTGAATAAGCAGCCTGTATTATGTCTGAGAAATGAAAATCAAAGTCTGAAGACGGGTTGTAAGCGGTCGGAGTGCTGCGAAGCAATTGTTGACATGCCAACACGCTAATAGTTCAGGCCGACTCGCCGATAGGTAGCTTTTAAACCTCAGCCCACCCCCACGGTAATATTACCGGAGAACGATTAGGCCGACACGCCGGATTAGTAAGGCCCTCCCATAGTAATTTGGCAGCCCTCCTTACCTGTTGCACTCTTCTTCTCCATACCTCGCTGTCGCCCACCAATTTTTTTAAAGCTATCCACAACTCCGCCCCGCCCACTATGACCTCTCAAGAACGCGTCGTTCGCCAGCCCCCGCAATACGGGGGCTTCGAGGATACTCAGGAGGAGCTGAATTGGTACGGCAGCAACCCTGAAGGGCATTAATCGAGATGGTCCTCCGCCAGAGGTTCTCTCGGAAGACGATATAGCCCTGCTGTAGGAGAAGGATAAGAGTAACCCTAGTGATGATGAGTGAAGTCGCGACACGTACTCTGACGCGTCTAGATCGCCGTCGCCACCATTTAACACCCTCTCTACCTCCCACCGCCCCCCTATTAAGCGAAAGGCCTCTATCAGCCTTGATGAGCAGAAAGAGCCGCGAAAGGGGATCAAACGTAGTAAACTCGCGCCTGTGATACCCTCGGAGGTCGCGTCAACAATACTGAAGTTGCCCGTGGACACTCCGAGTACGATGGATTAGGGGACGATATAAGGGAGCGTATTTCCGCCTAGGAGTAGGGAGGATTAGACTAGACTACATAGACAACACCACCGATAAAGTCCTCTTCCCCGTGGAAATCCCCAGCTCCGGTGGCGGCGAGTCTCCTTTCCGCCCTGTATGCCTCGGGAAGGCGGAGAGCCTCCATTGTACGAATAGCCTCATCGGTAACAGCGAGATCTAGCGACGGTGTGATAGTGACAGCGGGGTTGCTACGAGGCCGCGCCTTATTTTGGTGTGACCCCCATACAAATCTGGCGCGGCCTTGTAATCCCGCTACTGGTATTTTTCTTAGCATGGGCTGAGGTTTAAAAGCATCCCGCCGATATCGCGTCGCTATGGTATATTATTACTCAACTGGCTCTTGCGCACTTGCTAAATTGAACCATAGTAGGGATACTGTTTTGGCAAGTTCTGGATCCCGTAATATTGTCCACGATGTCCGAAGAGAAGCTGGCGGCAGCTCTCAGGCTTATCGACGAAGCTCACGCTCAAGACCCCAAGAAAATTGAAGTCAATGGCAAAGAGCAACCCTATGAACTCCACTACAGCCAAAAAATGAGCGAATATCTTGAAAAGCGCAACCCTTCTGCGCCAGATACGTTACGACTCGCAGTTCGCGCGCAGCATATCAGACGTTGGGAGATTCCGCGAGATTCGTATGCAAAGAACAAAGTTGGCTATCACGCCTGGCGAACCTACCTCAAGAAGAGGCAGGCGGATATAGCTTTTCAGATCTGCCTAGATTGTGGCTACTCACAAGATGACGCTGCGAGAGTGGCTTACCTTATCAGGAAGGAAGATCTGAAGAAAGATGAAGAGACGCAGACGCTGGAAGATGTGGCCTGTCTGGTGTTCATGGATGACCAATTCGAGGAGTTCGAAAAGCAGCATGACGAGGAGAAGACCGTAAAGATCCTGCAGAAGACATGGGGGAAAATGAGCGAAAAAGGCCATGAGCTTGCGATGGCTTTGCCGTTGAGCGAGAGGTGCAAGGATCTATTTAGCAGGGCCCTTGCTGGAGGTTGAGAGGCAGAAACCTGCTTGATCTTTCGAGAGGCTTGAAGAGCACTTGATCTACATGGGAGACCCTATTCGACATATTCGCTCATTAAAGCATGTCGATCACGTTTTCTCTACCGCCGCTGTTTTCGCATACTTCTCGTTGACCTTGTTAATGTCATCCCGAAACGCGCGCACATGCTCTGGCACATCTTCCACGCGACCATTTCCTCCAGCTACTGGCTCTCCCGCGGTCTCCCACATTGGGACGACGCCGGTCCACACCCTCTGCAGCAAATCCTCTCTCTCGGTATCTTTCTTTTCATCACCCGGGCCGCCCGTCCTGATCTTCCCGCTTCCGTTTACAATCTTTACCTTCAATATCGTCGTTGATGCCATTTCAGCTTTGTCAGGCGGCGTCCTTGTGTGATCCCTGCCAAAGGCTCTGGAGTCAGTATCCGCTCTTCAAGACAGAAGTTCGAGCCTGAAGGCAGGCCTGGGAAGTAAAACATTGCTTTGGGCTCCCAAGACTTCTCTTGCAATCAAACATCCTGCGAAACATCAATTTCGATACGTACCAACGACCGGGCAACACAGAGTTGGTGACCAATTGCATCGCCCATAGCTTCTCTTCCGCATCCTAAATTTTGTCTGGAGTTATTATTGTTTCTTCAAGGTAAACCGCCAAGCAATGAGAGAGCTCAAACGGGCATCATAAGTCTTCTGTTCCCGAAACAGATTTTACAAGCCAAGCAGTGGTCAAAATAGGGTAGAATTCGCGGTGACAGTATACATACCTCCACCAGGCTTCCGTACCCGAAAAGCACAGCAGATCGGTAGTTGTAACTGTGCGAATTAGGCGTCAAGCTAAGCACTATGCCATCCACTTTGGTTGCGGCTATGGTAATGGCAAGGCCGCTTTCTGGGTGTGCCCGCGCTTGCTTCATACAGCCAGAGCTCACATAGCCATGGAGATAACATTCCCTACACACGTTCTGGTCAGCACCGTTCTTTCAAGGCAAGGCAAGAACCAGAGTCACAAAACAGGGTTGAGGGGTATGAAGAGCCTCTTGCTCCCAAAACATGTCCTGTGGCTCAAACTCTGCCGCCAAGGAAGGAGTCGCTCCGTATAGTACGTACAGAGGATCATTCAAGTCAGCGCTTGGATACGCGAAGGATCCCATGGTACCGATCATTGGAAGAATGGTTGGGAAAGGATCCTCTGGATCTGAAGAGTTGAAAGAAATGTGGAGGACTGGAGTCTCATTGATGATTGAGTGGATGGTGTGCAGGTCGTAAGTAGCTAGAATTGATCAAAATATCAAAAGATGTCTATCGATATGGAATCCAATTCCAATTTTGGCAACAAGTAAAGAACCCTCTTACCACGATCATCCTTGCGGTGGACAGTGTTCTTCTGAACTCTCGGATAAACTAACGTTCGTCCCATAGCGATACTCAGTACTTTGGATTGGCCGATCAAAGGGGACGGAAACGACCGATTAGACTCCACCTCAATCAAAAAGCACCTTCTGTTTGATATACGACTCCACTGTAGCTAGCCCCCAAATGTGAACAGTAGTGACTCAACTGCTCAAGTTTTGGTAGATTGAAAAAAACTTTGTAGAAGATCGGCAGAAATAGCTTTTGGAAAGGCATGTGCTTCCGAACCGCATCTGCTGTTGTTGGGGGTATTTAGTTCGTATTAGGTTCGATTCCTAATGGCGCTGGTACAATGGTGTTGCGGTGCTTTTTATTTTCTGGCAGCGCCATTAGCTATAGGTTTTAGAGTTCCGTCGAACGGTGTTGGCGAGAGCTCAGGTTCGAATCCCATGCGATGCATTGATTTGTGAAGCGAAATGTTCCCCGTTAGTCATAGTCCAAGGGCGGACACCTGTTGATTGTGGTCGTGTTGTTGGGGGTATTTAGTTCGTATTAGGTTCGATTCCTAATGGCGCTGGTATAATGGTGTTGCGGTGCTTTTCATTTTCTTCTGCCACAATGCGAGTGTGCCCAGATCACAGATCACAGATCAACCATGAACGATGGATTGACAACTTCAGAGAATCAGATGACACTCCTTTGTATATGCTCGCCATCCCACTCACGAATCAGGCGTGCAGCAGGTCTTGCTTCGAGGGCACAGATGTCGTCTCTGTGCCGCTCTGTGGTCATTCTCATATGTCCAAACATGGGTTGCTTGACCAGCCAATTGGTTGATCAATCAGGTCTTTCTCTTCATAAGGTTGCCTTTTGGCGGTAAAATGACCACTGCGTTGCAGCCAGGTCTTCAATGGATTAGATGGCCTCGTTCTCTGTGTGCTTCATCAAGAGACTGAATGGAAAGGGGGAAAGTGCGGAACTTGGCCAAGTAATGGAGGCCTTTCCTGCTGAAGCTGCCATCATCGCCTGGTGTTCAGCCACTGGAGTGTTCGTTGCTATGCCAGTTACCTATAGTCAACGGCTGAAGCATCTCAAGGTCGATATGCTTTCGCTATACCATCCTCGGGTTCCAGACTTGTATCCCAAAGACATAGACACTACAACGGACATACGTATTGCACAAATTGAGGAATCTTTATAAATATGCGTATCTGCGACAACACCCAGCCTTACAGAATGTGGGGCAATTGCATTATCATCAATAACCCCAATTCCTTCCACAATCGTGACCGACTATTAGCATTCAACATTTGCTTTTTGCTTGGCCGTGTCATTGCCATCTATATAGAGTCCAGTCTGTTTCCTTCTCGTTCCCGCAAGCTTCAACAAATCTCCAGTATCGTTGAGTAATCCCACTACGTTGCTTTCTGTGTGTAGTGGCCTCTATGCATTCGCTCCCGAGTACACACAACTTTGTTTGAACACTGCAGTACCTTCTGTTTCTTTTGCCTTGGAAATAGCAATGACAACCACGTCTCGCAGAACGCCTGGTAAATGACACTCAGTTTCTCCTGTTTAGTCTCGCTGACCACCATCAAGGACTCGAATCCTCTCTCAAGAATCTTGCCATTTCGTCTTCCGCCAAACCCAAGACCTCTAAAGCTGTTGCCGACACCTGGGAAGACGTTGCTTCTCCATCAACCTCCTCCAATTCCACTACTCCCTCACCGCCCTCTACTCCCACTGACGCAACCCCTGGTCCTCCGCCGCCGACGCCCATCTCTCCAACTTCCTCCCACTCACGCAAGAAAAGTACAGACTGGTCGACGTTTGCAAGTGCCTATACCTCAAAATCCTCAAGTAGTACGCCTCGGTCTTCTACGGGCCCAGAAAAGAGACCGGAGAAATCATCTGCGGCGGCCGGACGCTTGATTGCAGGGGCGCTAGGTGTAAAGCCACCGAAGAAGACTGAGGAAAGCAAAGCGTATGAGCGGGCTGTGAGGGAGAAGGAGCGGAAGAGAAAAGAGGTGGCCAAAGACGAGGTGGGGAAGGCTGAGAGGGAGAGGGAGGAGGCGAGGAGGGCGATCTGGGAGGGTTGATTGGTCTTGAGAGAAAATGATGGTGTGATAATTGAGGGAGGGATATACATATTCTGAGTACGCATATACTGTCAATGTACGGCCAGGATTCTGGGCATATACACAATTGGCTTTCGCGTTTAGCCAACACCAGGCAGGGCGTTAGTGGCACATTCTTCAAAGGAGAAGAAACATTCTCAATATGGTTGGTGCCATGCAAAGGCATCGAGAGAGTTCTCGTTTGTAGACACAGCTCGTCACGTATGGTTGACCAAGCAACATAGAGTAACTGCAAAAGATGGCGCCTTTGGAGTGATCCTTTCCAGATCTTTTTCATTATGAACTAAGCCCGTCTCCTTCATATTCCTTTAAGCAGACCTGCGCCCTGAGCGCCCGCTGCAAAATGTGCCCATCGCTCGATTGATGTGGAAGACCTGCAGCTCAAATGAGATTACACGGCCTTGGACCCAGCATCGTACTGCCATCCGACCAGGTGCCACTGTCTCACTTGCCGTCTCAAGCTCCACCGATCTGTTCCTGGTGCACCTCCAACGTATCTCCATCGGCCATCTCGAGCTGCGGCGACGAACGATTAATAACTGACTTGTGGAAGAAGATATCTATGAAACATGGAGTGCTCTCCAAGGTGTTGAAGTACTCACGGATTCTGGGCTATCACTTGGGTTGACGCGCGCACCATCGAAGAGAAATCTAACAGAGGAGGGTGCTTTTCCTTGACGCTCGCAGAAGGCGTTCATGAGCTTCGAGAGGGCGGTGGTGCGCTTGATCTTGAAGAAGACCTCGTTGTTGTTGTCCGTGACCTTGATGTTCAGGTGCTCGCTCTTGGGCTGATCGTCGGGGTTGCCGCCGGCACCAGGAGATTGATCACGGTCAGACATGGCGTGGATGCTGGAATTGTGTTATGTTGTATAGTGGTTGATGGTGGTGAGAGTGTTGGAGGAAGGAGAGGAAGCTGTGAGCGTAGGGTGCAGGGTTTCTGTTGTCACCAGGCCCTGATCTGTGTACGCCTTGTGAGCGAGGAAGATTTGTTTGCTTTAGTGAGGGAAATGTACCTGAGAGCGGGACGCGATTTGATTAAGGTAGAACCAGTGCTCGAATGCACAATGATGGATTGAGGAAGCTTAAAAGTGGGCAGGTGGTTGTCAAGGTAAGGAGGTGGTGTGAAGCAAATTAGGGTAGCATGAAGTGATGTGAAGGATGAAAGCATGCCCCACCAATCACAAAGAGACTTCTAGAACTCACTTTTACCGAGTTTCCACTTGGGATCTCACAAACTACAAATCACCCATATTGCGAATGGCCACCCTGCTATAATCAGTGAGGCAAGTTCATCGTTGGAGGACCAAAAATGGTCAGTGTTCACTGTGTGATTGATCTATGATTTACGTACTTTGGTCTTTTGTACTCATATCTATCTAGGGAATTGAGGAAGACCTAAAGACGGATCCGCCATGCCATTCCCTCGCTGTAAGTGCCTATGATCATCGCATTGCAGGATACTCATGAAAACATAGTGTGCAATACAAGGTGAGGCAACTTGAAGTGCTGTAGATAACCTTATAGTGATGTTGAAGCTCTAAGAACGTTGCAGATTGCCTGTCCAAGAACTCATACAAGGAGGAAAAATGGTAAGCACAGCCCAATGAATAGTAAAGAAGAGAATTTTGATTGAGGGACAGTCAAAGCCAAGTCGACGATCTGTATAAGTGCTGCAATAGTTTCTACGAGCGCAAAGGTGATGACGCCCATACGGTCTCTTGCCCTAAAGCCAGTCTGTTGAGACTCAAGATGAAGCAACGCAGCAAAGGCACATGATGAGCAAAATCCGCGACTCATATCGTTTCATGGTCAGAGTGCTTGAAAGTGGCACCCTTCAATACACGTGGAAAATTTGTAACGGCTCGCTTTTGGGTCAAGACCTTCATTACCCACTGAAGAGTTCTGGTCTGGTATATAGAAAGCGTCAAAATCAATATTAGACGATCGTGAGCACGCAAAGAGATCCTCAAGGGACCTGAACAAACACTGATGGCTACTCCAGATTGGAGGTCTGTCCCGAGACTCTAATGATTGCCTGTTTAGACATTGTTTGTAGAAAGGAAAAGTCCGAAAGGCATGTCTACCACTCCTTAAATACAAGAAATTTTAAGCGAACTTCCTCGGCAATTTATAGACGCGTCTTGCGCGATTCGCTACTCTAGAGTCTACTGTACTCATTCAACATGGCATAATTGAATTGGAAATCCCCTCTGTACCACTGAAAACATATGGATGAGCTGTGGGAGATCCGCTTGCAGCTCCGCAACCGTTCATTGAAACTCTCATTTCCTAATAATTGACTGATATGCCTCCAAGGCTAATGCCTAGGGAGGAAAGCTGGAACAGCCTTCGCCGTTCAGAAGCTTCCGGTGACAACGTTGAAGATGAGTTCTCGGATGCCAGTATGAACGATGAGTCTGACCATGGTTCGGAGCGTTCCACTACCGAATCACCAACTTTCCCAACCGTTAGCGACGTTCATCGAGCACTTCACCCACTGCAAGCTACTGCAGACCGTGTCGGCAAGCAAGTCGAAGAATTTGCAGAGAACCTCGACCGTCTTAGTTCTAGAGACAAGCGCAAGCATGGGAAGGATTGTGGCGACGTTCTGCCCCTCGTCGACGCTTACAAAAAGATTGCCAGAGATACTGTAAGCCGCCTACAGAGCATGCACGCGCCTGAGAGACAGCAACAACTTTCCAAGACAACGAAACGGAGGCTTCGAAACTCAAGCGCCAAGTCCACGCCTGGGCCTCCTCCCGCAGAAGATGGAAAGGACCGCGGTATGATGACTAGTGTTGAAGACTTGAAGAGGTGGGAGCTGGAAGAACAAACGTGGGACTTGGTTGGCCTCATGCTCCAGGTTGAATATCCCAAACGGGGAATGACGCAGACGAATATTGACGGCGAATCGCATCTCGTAAGGCCTAGCAAGGATATTGAAGTGCATCGGTACTCCCCAGAGAAAGACGTTTGGAATAGGTTCCTAGCATCGGACGACCAAGCATGGGAACGACATACAGTAGTCGAATGGCTCAAGAAGTGCGCGGATAGTTTGGGCCAAGACATTGACCAGGTCGTGGAAGAGCTTGAACTGGGCGCGGACAGAGGGTCTGGGCTATGGGCTCACAGCTGGTTGTACTCAAAAGAAGCGATCAAATTCCAGAAACGCCTACGATCATGGCCACAAGCACTTGAGCCGGATGATCCGGGTCTCAACGCGTCACTGATGAACTCTGAGAAAACTAAGTCCCTGGTTACTCAGCTGGATCCAGATGCAATCACCCGTCAAGGTAGAAGTCTGGAGCAGCAAGATTACTACTTCGAACGTGCTACGTGGCTCGCGTGCTGGGAAATGCTAAGACGAGGGAAAGACTGGGATTATGTCCGGGATTGGTGTCATGAAAGAGGGGACGGCTGGAGGGCTACAGCAATGCGTGGAGATCCTCGAAACGCCCGCTTTCCCACCTCTTCACCAGCAAGTTGGCAATCACGAGCATTATGGCGCAAGGCCTGTGCTCTTGCTGCGAAAGACGGTAGTGTCGACGAGTACGAGAATGGAGTGTACGGAGTCCTCAGCGGATATCTTCCGAGTGTCTTGAAGGTCAGCCGCAGCTGGGACGATTATCTGTTCGCTCATTATAATTCTTACCTGCTACACTCGTTCGATCGTTATCTGAAATCGAGCTTTCCGGACAGGGTGCCAGCTACTCTGAACGACAAGCATGGTTCATTCAACTTCTCTGTCTTTGGCGGCCAACGTACGCAATCCGGGAATCAAATTGTAGAGAAGATGAAGCATCTGGAAACAACGAGAGAAGAAGCGAGGGAGCCGCTCAAGATGTTGCAGGGCAGCTTGATTGCAAACACCTTCGACGATTTTGTCTTTAAGCATGGTGTCAGACTTACACAAGCAGCTAACGCTGAAGAGAGATCTAAGATTCTTGAACGTTTTGGGAACGATCAAATTCTTGAGGGGAGCGTTACAGCACCAATCAGCATGGCGGATCATGACCTTCTCCGTCTTCTAACGCATATCATATTTGTATTCCAGGATCTCGGATTCCAATTTGGGGACGGCGAACGCCGCTCCGCCATGGAAAGCATCATCGTCGCTTACGTGGATTATCTTAGCAAAGCTGGCAAACAGCAACTACTGCCTCTCTACGCCTCCCGCCTCTCATATCAAACATCGATAGTTTGCTTGGGCCGCCAGCTACCAGCAATCCAAGATCGTCGTGAGCGCCAAACAATGATGAGTTTGATGAATCAGATTGGAATCGATGTCCCTGGTGTCCTTGGCATGCAGTTGCAGTTGATTATTACGGATACGCCGCTTACGCAGAGCGAGTGGCCTGCGTTGAGGATTCTTGAGCAGACCAGCAAGGACGTGTCAAGCGTCCGTCCTATCCAGACCGGCTTCATCGGTGATGAAGTTACAGGTGACCAAGAAGACCTAATTCACGGATTTGAATGGTATATGCTACTTGATCTCCATTGGCAGCAGACTATGGCGATAGGAGTAGTCATATACAAGCATTTGTTACGTAAGTCTGTAGAGGATGATCTTTTCTCTCTGCGAGCGCTAACATCGACATTCATTCTAGGGTCGAACGGATTGGCAGCCGCACGACGCCTGTCGCAGACAGTACCGTTCTCTACAATATCTCTTGGGAAGACCAATGATGTCTTGGGAAAGCCGGTAGATATTAGCAAGAGCCAAGATTCGAGTGATGACGAGGGCGATCCAGTTACTAGGAGTCAGAATACCAGATCACGCCACGCACAAAGCTCGCAACGATCGGGCAGCCTGTCTGCGAAACTTGCCCAAAGCGATCGTGAGCTCATGCTGAGTCAAGCAACCACCTTTAGGGACTTCGAAACCCTTTTTGCTGCCCTCGATGCGATCGAGGAATGGAAGAACCTTGCCGATGAAGCTGTCAAGTAAGTCCACCCAAAGCTCCACAATGAGTAATCTGTAACAAACCTGGTTACTTTCGACAGATACATCGAACAACGCCAAGATATCAGAGTCTGGAAAGACTCGTTTCAGAAGGCTTACAAAAAAGTTGAGACGACTATCGAGCCATTACTCCATGGATGGTTGCGAAACCCCAATAATGGTGAGTGCGTCTTATATCATGCATCACCTGAAGCACGACCTGATGGTGGAATTAGATGCAGACGAGGCAGACTTCAGGCAGATACGGGTAGCTTGTTTACCCGAGGTTTTGCTTGCTTACAACATGGTCTTGAACTTCAGCTCGCACTACCTTAGTCGTGATCTGCTACTGAAGAGCATGGACTTGGCAGCTCTGGTCGCTGCTGAAGACTCTGGGCTTGCTGAGTGCTTCATGGCCGCTGAGAGGATGCCTGAGCTTGTTGATTCTTTTGCACTTTTGAGTAAGACGATCATCAGAGCAGATGATAGGGGAGCAAAAGCGGGAAAAAGCAAAAAGAAGAGGAACGGGGAGACATTAGACCTGTGGACAGTGAGGGCGCCGGCAGACTAGGGGTTGACATTTCAGCAATGCTCAATGTAGTTATTATAGACTGGCGCTCAACCCATAGCATTAGTAACGTTGAAGACGGTGATCATCAAAGCGATCCACCACTTTGAGGAGAACACAGCCCTCTCTTCATGCAAGGCTCATTGTGTGGATGAAGGTCAGCGCTTAGCACGCAATCCATTCCATAGGCAATTTGTATCTACGGGGTAACAAGTGACGCGTTGAAACTGATACACATGCCGTTTTTGGTTGTCTCTGTACCCAAAGTCTTGCTTGCATGTACTCGGTATGTACTCTGAATCATGGCGGCTGGCCTGGTGTGGGACCTGCATCGAAGGATCCAAGCTGAAAAGATTGCCAAGGCAGCAAGCGAATCATTATTCTCGTAGCATTCCCTACTGTCAAAGCTAGTCGCGCACACAATATTCGCCACGGGGAAAAAGCGTCCATCGTTGTTACAATAAGAATAATAATGAAATCAGTATTGCGAATGCAAAGTTGAAAAAGGAAGGTGGAATAATACTTAACAGTACAGGATCATTTGCCGCCAGCCCGCCAGAAAATGGTCTCTGCATTTTGAGAGGAGGAGGGAGCAAGTAGTGCGAAAATCGAGGCTGTGCAAGACGCTAGCAATGACAGCAAAGTCGACCTTTCCATTGACAGGGATCATCTGGCTCCCCAACTCCAATTCAATACTCCTTTACTGTCTACAGCGTTGTAATGCCGCCTGTTCAAGGAGTGTCGTCTCTCTGCTTTTTCGGCGACCTCTTCATCCGGACATTAGGAGGGTGTTGACCATCCGTCACCTCATGGAAACCCGGCGGCGAAAGAGCAACGCCCATGACCCACACCCAAAGAAGATCCGAGGGGGATCATCTTAGGAGGAGCAGTGGGAAGCGATCTGAAAAGACCGACAGGCGGCGGACTTGGAAAGAAAGCAGTCGGTAAACTTGTGCTGGCCAATACTTCCGCAGAATCCGTATGTCCTCTCTTGTATGTTTGTTCAGTCTAAGGGCCGATACTGATGAAGCGCTGCTGGAAGCCGCGGCTCGTTGCGTTATTGACTTCCTCGACACTTGCACCTTCCTCACTGAATCTACCAAGTCGAGCTCAAGCATACGCCTACACTATCCAGTCAGACCAAGATCCGCGACTTCATCAACCAAACCGTAGCATCTTTACCCAAGGGCACTATTCCGCGCCGTTCCAACACGCTTATTTGCATACTTATGAGCGAAGGGGACACTCTCCATCATACATCCCGGACGTCAGGCCGCTGAGCGTACCATGACGGACGTTGGGAAAAATGGCTGTACATCGCCGTCACCACCTCACCCCCCACGCCGGCCACGGGCGCCCACAATAACAATCAATACCTCTGCTGTTAGTCTATCTTCGCCCGAAGTGCAACAAGACCTTCCATTTTCCTGAATTATAATGCTGACCGAGCGATACATACAGGCTGAACAGAACGAAGAGCGGGACAGGGAGCCTGCCCCTTTGCTAACCGAGTCCCCAAGGACAGACCTTCGAGCGGCGCATTCTTTCGAAAGCAATCGACCCACATCTGCCCACAATGTCTCAACCCCCACCTCCAAATGGACTGATCTTCGACCTCATAATTTTCTGGCCGTGCCAAATTCTCGTTCTAGGGGAAATTCCGTTGACTCGGAAGAGCCAGGCCATTCCCCTACAACATATAGTGGTGAGACCTCGGTGCCTTCCCTAGCCTCGACGGCTGAGGGCAGAGCGAGCACTGAAGTTAGTAACGATAATATAATCAATAGCGAAGAGGCATTGAAAGCGGATCGTGGCACAGAAACGGACTTTCAGGTCGAAGACAACAAATTTGCGTTTTCCCCAGGCCAGTTGAACAAATTGCTCAACCCGAAAAGTTTCGCCGCTTTTCATGCGTTGGGGGGATTGAGGGGCCTTGAGAAAGGACTCCGGACCGACAGACTGGCAGGGTTGTCCTTGGACGAGAAGAAGCTCGACGGGAGCGTGGGCTTCGATCAGGCTGTAGCAGCTGGCTCTCAGGACAAAGACTCTGAAGACCAAGGAGGTCGGCTTATATCAAGAAGGACAACAACCGGAACCTCGAGGAAATTATCAGAGGACTCGTTCATAGACCGCAAACGCATTTTCAAAGACAACCGTTTGCCGGAAAAAAAAGCCAAGAGCATATTTCAGCTTGCTTGGATGGCATACAACGACAAAGTACTGATACTGCTAACCGTTGCCGCTGTTATATCTTTGGCTCTGGGTATATATCAATCGGTGACCCCTCAGCCAAACGGTGAAGCACCTGTGGAGTGGGTCGAGGGCGTTGCCATCATGGTAGCGATTATAATAGTTGTTGTCGTCGGCGCTGCAAATGATTGGCAAAAGGAGCGACAGTTCATCAAGCTGAATAGGAAGAAAGAAGACAGGGATGTCAAGGTCATTCGATCAGGAAAATCTAGAGAGATCTCTGTGCACGACATCCTAGTCGGCGACGTTGTGCATCTTGAGCCTGGAGACATGATACCAGTTGATGGTATTTATATCTCCGGACATAACCTCAAGTGTGACGAATCGTCTGCTACAGGTGAATCAGATTTACTCAGAAAGCAGTCGAGTGACGAAGTATATGCTGCTATCGAATCTCATCGCAGCCTGGCTAAGATAGACTGCTTCATCATCTCAGGTAGCAAAGTTTCGGAGGGCATTGGCACGTTTCTTGTCACTGCAGTCGGAGTCAATTCAAGCTATGGAAAGACTATGATGGACCTACGCCAGCCTTCTCAAACCACACCATTGCAATCGAAGCTCAACGTTCTTGCAGAGTACATCGCCAAATTGGGCCTCGGTGCTGGTCTTGTCCTTTTCGTGGCAACCTTTATTAGATTTCTGGTTCAACTGAACACCATCCAAGGAGGAGCGAGCGAAAAAGGACAGCGATTCTTACAAGTTTTCATAGTTGCTGTTACCATTGTTGTCGTCGCGGTCCCAGAAGGTCTCCCTCTTGCTGTCACATTGGCGCTTGCATTCGCAACTACTAGGATGCTTAAGGATAATAACCTAGTTCGGCTCTTGCGAGCATGCGAGACGATGGGCAATGCGACAGTCATTTGCTCAGATAAAACAGGTACCTTGACGCAGAACAGAATGTCTACAGTTGCCGGCATATTGGGTACTACAGCCCGATTTGGGGACAAAAGAAGCCCAGAAACATCTGCGTCGAATTCACCTGATTCTCCTACCAAAGGCAGAACTGTCTCAGCAGAACAGGATAGTCAGGATGTGTCCACTTCGCACTTCGTCTCCATACTCGCTGATGATGTGAAAGAGACGCTAAAGCAATCTATAGCGGTAAACTCGACAGCTTTTGAGGGCGAGGATGATGGCGGACAAGAGATTTTTGTAGGATCGAAAACAGAAACAGCTCTGCTGAGCTTCGCTCGAGATCATCTCGCCATGGGATCCGTGAGTGAAGAAAGGGCAAACGCCAACGTCGTCCAATTCGTCCCTTTCGATTCGGCGAGAAAATGCATGGCTGCCGTGGTTAAGATAGACCAAAAGCGATATCGAATGTTTGTCAAGGGTGCCTCGGAGATTCTGCTCGGAAGATGTTCGAAGATCATTCAGGATCCCACCCGTGAGATGTCAGAAAGAGACATTACGCCTGGAAGCATCGAGTTTCTTGAACAGATTATCGACAACTATGCTTCACGGTCACTACGAACTATCGGGCTCTTATACAGAGACTTTGAGCAGTGGCCTCCTCGAGGCGTACCAACTCAGGAGGATGATCAAACCCTCGCCGTCTTCGAGAAAGTCTTCAAAGAAATGGTGTTTTTTGGAATTGTTGGTATTCAAGACCCACTGCGGGATGGTGTTGCTGATGCCGTTCGTGTATGTCAAAATGCTGGGGTCAAAGTACGCATGGTGACAGGAGATAATCTTCTCACTGCCAAAGCTATTGCAGAAGAATGTGGAATCTACACGGCTGGAGGTGTAGTAATGGAAGGTCCCGCCTTCCGAAGACTAAGTTCAAGGGAGAAGGATGAAGTTATCCCAAACCTCCAAGTTCTTGCTAGGTCAAGTCCCGGTGACAAGCGGACCTTGGTTCTACATTTGAAGAAGCTGAGAGAAACTGTTGCTGTGACAGGTGATGGTACGAATGACGCCCCTGCGCTCAAGGCTGCCGACGTGGGATTTTCTATGGGTATTGCAGGGACAGAAGTGGCCAAAGAGGCTTCGGCAATTATATTAATGGACGACAACTTTGCCTCTATTGTCAAAGCAATCATGTGGGGCAGAGCTGTCAACGACTCCGTCAAGAAGTTCCTCCAGGTTCATTACCCGCCTCAAATTCTCAAGCACATTGGCTAACCATCTGTAGTTTCAAGTCACAGTCAACATCACTGCCGTGGTCTTGACTTTCATATCTGCCGTTGCCAGCAGTACTGAGACCTCGGTGTTGACAGCTGTCCAACTGCTATGGGTAAATCTCATCATGGATACCTTCGCCGCCCTTGCTTTAGCCACCGATCCACCCACACCCAACATCCTGGATCGAAAACCTGAGCCCAAGTCTGCACCGTTGATAACATTGACCATGTGGAAGATGATCATCGGTCAATCGGTATTCCAACTTATTGTTACATTAGTGCTGTACTTTGCTGGAGCATCTTTCCTCTCGTATCAAACGCAACGTGAGCAGAATCAATTGCAGACTTTAATCTTCAATACCTTCGTGTGGATGCAAATATTCAACCAGTACAACAACAGACGCATCGACAACAAGATGAACATCTTCGAAGGCATACAGCGGAATTACTTCTTCATTGGCATCCAGCTCATCATTGTTGGGGGACAGATCATGATCGTCTTCATTGGTGGTGACGCCTTCTCTACACATCGACTAAATGGTGCTCAATGGGGCTACTCCGTGGTCTTAGGATTCCTTTCTATACCTGTAGCAGTGATGATCCGCATGATACCAGACGACCTCATAAGGAAGCTGATACCATCCTGGTTTATCCGGAAAGCAACACCTAAGTTGCTGGTGTCCGACGAGGAGCGACAGTACGAATGGCATTCCGCGTTGGAAGATATTCGAGAAGAATTGACGTTTTTGAAGAAGCTCCGTGGTGGACGTCTCAACGTGCTTAGGTATAAGCTTCAACATCCAGTAGAGACTTTCTTGCCACGATCCAGAAGCGGTTCGTCTCGATCAAGATCGCGAACCAACTCGCGACCTCAAACACCTACTGGTGAGCAAGGGGAAGGCGACCCCGGTAGCAATCAGCTACCTCCCACTCCTGAGTCCCGAAGATCGGCCCAGCGAAGGTCACCAAGATCACGGTCAAATTCTGCATTTGGCCCAGCTGCTGCGATGGCAGGCCTCGTTGCTGGTAGTGTGGCCGGATGGTCACCCATTGGTCGTCGAAGCGAGGATGGCAGCTCGATGAGGTTTTCACCATCTGATGGTAGATCTCAGCTCGACGGTCATGAGGGCACTGAGGTGCATCCCGCAGCAAGCTCGCACGATCTGATCTCAAGTGAGAATGAGCGCTCGCAGTCAGGCCACCTACAAGCAGACCAAGCCCCTGAAAACAGCCATGCCCCTGGGCCATCCTCGTTAGCTCCGCCGCAGCGTGCATACTGAGACAAGGGCTTAGATGGAGTCGCGCGATACTCTTTTTTCGTTTCTGAACCGAGTGTTTTAAAACAACACCTTTCATATTTTACGGGAGTTAGAGCTTCTTGTTCAGTTTGGGATGAAGCCTTGTCATGAGCATGCATGAATCGGCGTTTGGGAGTAAAAGCGGTACAGAAGAATAATGAGCATGAGACGTCAAAAGTAGATGGCGCTCGTTTGGAGCTCCGCAATGTCTATCGGAGCACATATGCTTGGGATCATTTCGGCTACAACAAAACTGGTCTCTGGGAGGGGTGCTGGACAGGTAGCATACGTAGCACTATCGCTGTAACATAGCCTTTTCGGCAACTACATCAAGTTCTTTCGCCTTCTTGAGTGTTAGTATTCCCTCAAAGACGTATCAACAGCGTCGCTATCACGGGCAGGACAGCGCAACATAGTATGCATCCTGGAATATTCACATCAGTTATGTACGGTTGTCACCCTGATATATCCCAGATTCAAGCATGCCGATTACCTAAATGACCAAGATTTGTCTCGCCAGGACAACCCCCAACGCCTCTCGTTGAACGACGAGGTCTCATGGTAGCGACCAGAATACGTTCTGGGTACGCGATAAGTGATCGGCAATCCTGTAAGTATCATGTCGTATGACAAATACAAGTGACAGCTGTTGGATTCAACGAGTCCATATGCGCAATGGAATTACTACACCATCCTTTCAATACCTCGCCCGCTTATATGTTTTCTCTTCTTCAACATGTGTCCCAATCGTACAGCCTTCAGCAGTGCCTACACGCTCGCAGCAGCTATATGTAAAATCTTCAGGGAATTCTTCCTCTAGATCAGTTATTCGGCCATGGCAATTTTCATCGTGATCTGTCCATATATCGGCTTGCTAGTCAGGCTCTCGTTCGCCTACAGAATCATTTAGCTCAGAGGCAAGTATCTGGAGAAGCTAGTTTGAACATACCGGGGTGCCATACACAGCTGTCCTTTCCATTGTCTGTCACGTCGAATTCTTCCGAACAATTTGTGCAGGTTGCAGACCTTGATCGCAACCTTTTGACACCGTCGGCATGAATTAGTGGAGCCCCATTGGAGAAAATGTGGGGACGGTCCTCTTCTTCCTCTTTATCACCACCATCATCTTCTCCATTCGCGTCATCGCTATCTTCGCTGTCGTCTTCATCATCTCTAGTGTCGGTACCGACTTCTTCGTCTTCGTCTTCTTCTTGATCCTGATCCGCATCATCTTCAGTTCTATTTCTCCGGTCTATCGTCTTATGTTTGACTTGTTCTTCCGGTACACGCAAGAGACTTCGCGCGACTCGAAACGTGCAGTCTCCTCCTGCCGCTCCTCAGATACCCTTGTCACAGCGGGGCTTGCCACGGTCAAATCTACGATGGTGGGCGACATGATTGGACTCGATTTGGTAGACGAGCTGATGTGAGAAAGCGCACAGGTGACTCAATGCTGAGTGGACATGATATTCGTTTACTTGGATGTCGGTGTGATTAGTGAGCTAGCCTTTCACTATTTCTACTAGAGAAGTGGAGTTGGTTGGACGGTGACAGACGAGGAGAGTTGGGAAATGGACGATCATAAAATTGCGAAAGTACAAGAAGAGGCCTGAAGACAGTGTAAGAGCAGAATTCTAACTCGCATGGTCTAGTATTTGTTTTGGTAATACAGTACTACTACCTCATCTCTTTAACAATAATATGAATGAATGCTCTGCGAAGGGTAGAAAATAGAGAAACCCTGAGCCACGCTCGCGACAGCAGCAGTGGCCTACCTAGTGGCTTGATGCCAAGCTAGAAAATAAAAAGCACCGCAACACCATTACCAGCGCTATTAGGAATTAACCCTAATACGAACTAAATACCCCCAACAATAAGGGTAGTGGTGACCAAAGCCGGGAGCTAAAACGCGGGCTTTGTTGTTAGGGGTATTTAATTCGTATTAGGTTCGATTCCTAACGGCGCTGGTATTGGTGTTGCGATGTTTTTTATTTTCTGGCAGCGCTATTACCCTTAGGTTTTAAACTTCTTAACCGGGAATAGCCGTTGGTTCGAATTCCCCCAGTGCTTTCATGCCGGAAAACATTTGTTGGTTGGCTTACCATCCGAGGCGGACGCCTGTTGGTTGTGGTCGTGTTGTTGGGGGTATTTAGTTCGTATTAGGTTCGATTCTTAATGGCGCTGGTACAATGGTGTTGCGGTGCTTTTTATTTTCTACCCTACCAAGACTGACTCCAAGTACGAGTATACCTACATGTACAGAAGTAAGATCTTACCATGATTACGGCTACTTTGTATATACATATCATAAATCGTGTATCCGACGAGAAGCCATTCGAATTTCGGCCACTACAGACGCCCACATAAACACATTTTATGCCAACGGAGTACTTGTTTGACTTCACTTGGACTGCGCAGCCATAAAGTGAACAACTTCTATTCATCATCCAGGTTACAGTCAAGCCCATGATCACTGTTTTCTTCTTGTGACAAGTCAACGACCAACCACGGAGCTTGAAAAACAACTTATAAAAACATATTAGCGCGAGCATCGCGAATGGTGTCGAGATGATGGAAGACTTCACCGGAAGTATAGGCAACCTTACAGATAGCGACGCATTTGCATACCAGCTCCCTCCACCACCTCTCGCATTCTCTCCCTACCTTTACCTGCTCTTTGGCCTCTCCTACCTCACACTCGTCGCCTGTCTCCGCAACCGTCACCTCCGCTCAACCCGCGTTGAACATCCCTACCCCACGCGCACCTCTTTTGCCTCTATGACTAATGAAGATGCTTATTTGATTCAGCTGGACATTGCGGAGCTCGAATTTCCTTTTACATTCGAAAAAAGTCTGCAATTTGCACTATTTCGCACCTATGGCATACCAACCATCTCAAAGCTGCTTGTACAAACGAGTCAGTTGAGTGAAGAAAGTACCGCCACGAAACGGTACGCGGATACAGGGGTTTTACTCGCTGAGTTTCTAGGATACCATCCCACAAGTGCCAGAAGCATAGAGGCTATCGGTCGCATGAATTACATACATAGCCAGTACCAAAAATCCGGCAAGATCCTGGACGATGACCTCCTCTATACACTCGCGCTTTTCGCTTGCGAACCCACACGTTGGATAGATCAGTACGAATGGCGAAATCTCGAGGACTTTGAGAAGTGTGCAATCGGCACATTCTGGAAGGCCATTGGTGATGCCATGGAAATTTCTTATACGAAACTGAAGAGTGGTGGAGAGGGAGGGCAGGGTTGGATGGATGGGCTCCAGTGGTTGGACGAATTGAAAGCGTGGTCCGCCGAGTATGAGAAGCGGTTTATGGTGCCAGATAAGAACAACCAGAAGACTGCGGAGCAGACCGTGGCGATTCTGTTATACAGCATGCCCGGGTTCTTGAAACCGCACGGGAGGAGAATTGTCGGTGCGTTGATGGATGATAGGTTAAGGACGGCAATGATGTACGTATCTTTATTTTCATGAGTCACACAGCCCTTAAATTTATCATCTGACGGTCGTTTGTCCAGGTACAAGAAACCGAGGTATTTGTACTTTGTCCTCGTCTCCACCCTTTTCACCGTCCGCAAGTTTGTCCTGCGCTACCTCATGTTCCCCCGCCCTCGATTCCTCCGTGTCCATAATACTACCCATGAGCCATCACAAGCCGGCACATACTACATGAGGGTCTATGAGACCCATCCGTGGTATGTAAAACCAAGTTTGTTTAATCGATACGGAATCCGGGCTTGGAAGGATTGGATCATGGGGTTGCCAGTGCCAGGAGACGAGGGTGATAAGTATCGGCCTTCGGGGTATAAGATACCTGAGGTAGGGCCGGACTTTATGAGAGGGAAGGGGGTGGACTATATGAGAGCGTCGAGGGAGAGGCTTGTTGGCGAGAGGATGAAAGGATGCCCGTTCGGAAGGCCGAAAAAGGAGTGACCAGAGTGAAGTTAGCATTTCGTGCATTGTACGGTTGGCGCTTGCATCGAGAGTTGGCATGCAATGGTGGCTGTTTTCTATTCAAAGCAAGTCCAATCTTCAGTGATCAGAACGTTGCAGGCGCTCTGCTAGATACATGTTATCAGCATCCGCAGTACAAAGGATCCCTAGTATATCAGCACCGAATGGAAACACCCTAAATGTCTTTGTTATCCGCTTGAAAATTGTATGCAAGAAAAGTCCTTTTTTTGGATGGGAAGAGCGATTGATATTGCATACTAATTGCCAAGCGACGGGGGCGAGATAATTGTGCTGTCTACAAACCCAACGTCTGACGCGTTACTACGTCACATTGCCACCGCTCTCAGTTTAAATGGTAATGGTAGTACAGTAATTTTTGGCAGGAGAGTGAATGGATGTACTGCGCGTACTCGAGGCGCTTGTTCAAGCCCACCACCTTCTCTGGAGGCATGTTCCCCTTGGCCATCATGTGGATCGCAGAGTCTCTTCCATCCTGCTAGGCCACATGCCCTTTTCTCCATCTCCAGCCATGTGAATTCACTGGTTATGATCTTGGATGCCAAAAGAGATTTCCAACCACAGATCGCGGAGGATAAGTTTGGCAGTGTTTGAAGAGAGATCATTGTCCAACACCTAATTCGGCAGTGCAGCACCTATATACACTCTTTACCCTAGTACTTCCTCGAAATCCCAATTAAAGACCAATCAAACGTGTCCGTTTCGAGGTCTTTGACGAGTCGTCCCCTCTGATCATCCGGTCATCCGATCCTTCGATAGCCTTTTCTATGTCTGTTTCTTTGCCTCGTCGTCAGGATCCGGTAATATACCCTCCGCCTCCAGTCTTCTCCTTGCCTCTTCTAACGCCCATGTTTGTATTCTGTTGCCAGCTTCAGCGCTCTATCAAACATTCCGTTCGCTTCATGCGAAGTCAATTGATATCATTGTCATCAGGGGTTCGGTCCTCTAGGTCGGTCCTCCGGGCCCACACCTTCCTTCCCTCTCTGAAATCGATGCAGAACTGTAAAGGACTTACGAAGTATCAGGCTTATAAGCATAAGCTACAATCCCCAACAGCAAACTGCCCCAAAACCCATACACCCACGCATTCTCCCATCCTTCGTTCTTGTATTTCTCGCCCGGAGGAATTCCAAAAAGCCAGCCGGATGGTGGATCATAGTGGCTCTCGTGTGAAGCTGTGTCTGGCGAAGGGTGCTCGGAAACGTCTGGCGGGTGAGTGGAGGCGAGGGTGCGAGCCGCCGAGGGGCGTGGTGGTGGAAAATATCGCGCTGGATGTGAGGAGAGGAGGATGGTCGGTCTAAAGAGGTGGATTGGGGGGCGTATAGGAGGCATTGAGCAGATTTGTCTGTAAGCAGTGTCGTGGTGAAGAGATGTGAGGTCAATTTGGAGTGGAGCAGTGAGAGATCGCGGCTTGGCATATCGAATCTAGCGGCACTTCCCAATTCTCCGGTTCACGTGCGACACGCCTTCAACCTCAATCATTCCTGATATACGGATATCCCCAGCTTATTTGGTTTCATTACGGGCACGTTCGGGCTTGGGCCACGTAACGCTGACCGAAAAATCTATATACATCTCCTATGTTGTCAATCCTTCTCAGTCGTCGAAAGCTGACGATGACCTGGCTCTCTGGGTGCACTCTCCCTGCCAATGCAAATCCATGTTCCGCTAAATGTAAAAAGCCCGCTCAAATACACAGAGTCCCCTGGATCGATTATTCCATTACTATCGTCTTGTTGTTGTTCTCCTGGTATCCAGTGTCCTTCGATCTGATGACTCGCTACCTGAGAAAAGGTCAGCATATAGAGAAGGCAGTTGACTGATTAGATGTGACTCACTTTCACTGGAATAATCGCTATACGAATAGCTGCTCGCTGATGTCTCGGTCTTCGCCTTCCTATCCCTTCGTCTCTTGAACCCCAAGAAAATTGCCAAGGCGCCCAGGATCCCGGCTACACCCAAGAATCCGCCCAAACCATCCTGCTTCGGCCTATCGACTCTCGCCGGCCGCGCGGTGCCACCGTACCACGTTCGTCCGCCGCCTCCCGATGGACGCCCATGGTGGGAATATCGCTCTTCCTCGACAACTTCGCCCCTGCGCCTCCTGTTCCTTAGGCCGAAGAAGCTCAGTATGCCGTCGAGCAGACCCTTGAAGCAGTAGAAGGCGCAGAAGAGAAAAAGTAAGAATAAACCGAGTAGGACGCCAATGACGATACCCGCAATCGCGCCGGCACTCAGGCCATTGTTGGCTGTTGTGGCGGTCATGCCGGCAGCGCTGCTTGCACTTGAAGCAGAGGCCGATGCTGTCATGAAAGGCACTGTCGTTGTCATAGAGCCGGTTGATGTGACCGTTGTTGCTACGTTGGTGGTTGGTCGAATAAAAGCTGTGTTGGTGGCAGCGGCCGTGGTGGTGGATATCACAGAGTTCAAGTAGGAACTGCTGAGGTCACTGTTTCCGTTGCTCGCTGCGCATTGGCCGGCAAAAGCGCAATATTGCCCCACAGCGCAGCAGATGGTGCCGCAGGGGCTCTCATTCATTGAATTGTCGCATGAGATGGCTGAGATGACGGGAGCAGGAGCGGCGGTAGTCGTGCTCTCAGCGGCAAAGAAGGAGCTGTAAGTGGACGTCATCGTGACTAGCTCGCTCTCCACGTAGGTCGTGGTGTAGTATTCCCATTGTCCTTCTCCGGAGGTGTCTGCGCTTGAGCTGGCTACACACTCGGCTTGGCCCAAAGAATTCGTCGAACATGCCTGCTCGGAAGTACAGCACAGTTGGCCTGACCATCCACACACGCTGCCAGCACAGCTTCGTTCAGAGAGGTAATGGTACTGAGATTCGAGCAGCTCTCTGTCTCGAGCATTAGGTCTTGCATCCGAGGTGTGAGTCGAAGAGAGAATGGAGAAGAGGAGGGAGAGGAGGGTCGGTGGCTGTGAGAGAAGCATTTCCGTGGAATGTATATGGTCGACGCGAGGAATGGAGGAAGCGCTGAGCGCTTGAGCTTTGGTGGTTCCGCAGAAGCCCAAGTCCGTTTGTCTCTGTCAACTTCCACTTCGTTATCAGCAATAATTGCGACGGCAGCACAGAGTCGATAAAACGAGCGTCAACTATTATGAGGGAAGAGAGAGATATGCGAAAGAGTAAGGGATTGCAAGGGCAGGTTTCTATCACCACCAAATTGGCCGCCCAACCCCCCTCCTCCCAGCCACCGCTTCCCGCACACTCGACCACTGAGAAGGCACACCACAACGAAGTCACACAACTACCGTCAAACTGAGGAGGCTGAGATTGATGACGGTGAGTCAATTCACTATATCTTCATCTGTGCAATTGACTGCACCGTGGTTGAGCCCTCCTTCGTTGTCCGCGGAATGGCGGGGGCGAATGATTTTCGCTTGTTTTTCCACTTTTAGCGTTTTAGTGTTGGCAGGACAGCCAATGCCAATAAGTACCTTACTTTCAGACCTACCTTAGACTACTTTATTTGGAGTCGATTCTTAAGGGACAACATTTCCGCTGCAAAATTACTCTCAAGTAAGATATAATGTCGTAGTATTTGGGGACGAATCCCTTCCCAAGCCTTGGGTTCTCAAGTCTCATTACGTACGTAAAGTATTGGTGGCTATCTACCCAACACCAGCTTCTCTATTCTTTTTACAAAGAAAAGTAAAGATCATACGTGGTCATTCATGCTTGCCTGCCGTCGCCGTGCCCATGTAGCCTCGCTCCCATTTGAAAAGTTCAGTCATCAAACAATCGCTGATTCTAGCATATCCCAAATCATTGACATGGACAACATGAGAAAGATCAAATTGTCTTTCTCTCAATCCACGACTAGACCCGCCAGTCCTACTACTACTCCCATACCTACGCCATACAAAGCCGCCGCACATCCTGTCGGCGCGGCATTGGCACTTCCCTCAACAAACGTCCCGGCCGCCGCTGTCTTAGCAGCACCACCAAGTGTCGAACATTGCGTAAGTACTAGTCCATGACACGCTTCGGCGCTCAGACTAGAACAGATCGACTCCGCCGACACCGGTGCAATGGCCCCCTGTTGCGTAATACCTCCACCCGGGCCCGAGACTGTCACACCCATTCCACCTCCTTCCAAGACCCCTGTGCACTTTGCGGACTCTAATTGACAGCTCGAATAAGAGGTTGTGCACTCAGCGGCATTGGCGTATGTTGTTGGAAGAAATGGGAAGGGGTAATAGCTGTTCGCAACTGTGCTGGTCCCAGTGATTGCATGCGTGATGGCTGCTGCGCCTGCCGTCGTTGAAGTACCCGCGGCCGGTAATGCTGTGGAAGGCGCTACTGCTGGCGCTACTGTCCCTGTGCAATCGGCATTATCCGGGCAGCATGCGACATTTCCGGCTTCGTCGAGGGCGCAGTTGGTTTTCTTAGGGCAGCAGGCTTCGCTGTTGCCAACCGAGGAGCAGGAGATGGGACATTTGGAGTCTCGACGAAAGAGATCCAAACTTATGAGACCTTCGAGCCTGGAAGATTGATCCGTGTTAGAGGCGAAGAAGGGTGTGTACTGGGCTGCAAGGGCAGGGTTGAGAGTGAGGCAGGCGGTAAGGGCATAAGCGACGAGGGCCCGCATGTCTGCTGGTAGTGACAGAAATGGCTGCTTGAATGAAATTTCTTTAAGAGATCCAACTGATTTACTTGAATTGCTGCAATAGATCCCAAGTATCTTGTCCGGAGCTTGAGGGAACAGGATCTGGAGGGTTGGCCCCACGGCCTTACCAGGGTTTTTCCTGTAATCGAGGCTCGTATCTTGTCAATGGTTTTCCGATTGAAAACGATTCTATATAATCAGAAAGAAGGTCGGTCTCGTAGCGTTAATAGTATTGCAAGGGGGAGACTCGATTGACTGTTTACACTCTAGGTTGGCATAGCAACTGCCGCGCGGGTATCCTTGGCATTTCCGACATTGCTTATCTAACGATACAAAAAACCCGTAAGCGACTTTCTTTCGTAAATCTCCCGACAATGTACAGGCCTTTCAAATCGCAACGCGAAGTGTTTAAAGTTGGTCAGAACTAACCTAGTATCTCTCGTATCGAACCTTGCCTTGGATGAAGACGTTCCTTCGAGCAGAGAAAGTCTTGCGCTCTTATTGTTTGCCTAGAGCCTATAGGTTACCAGGCTGCTCCCGCCCTGAAAATGACTTGGGGCTACGCTTTTACCATGTCAGCAAGTCTCTTCTGAAATTGTAATCGATTAGCTGAAGTTCTTTAGGACGATGGCAGAAGGCGATTGTCTGCATTCTGGGTGCCAACGGGGGGGATTGCTTTCACAGAGCACACACAAGGTATCGAAAACTACACCTCTGCTACGCCAGATCACTAACAATGCGATCAGCAGATTCCCATTCGCTCTTAATTAGAGCCGGCTTCGTACGTCAGGTATGTAGTGAATATCTTCGCAATAGTTGTATGTATTGAAATCGCTCTACAGGCGCATTCTGGACTTTTTCAGTTCTTGCCTCTAGGCTTGCGCGTGCAGGAAAAAGTAGAAGAATTACTTGATAAGCACATGCTCAAGCTTGGTTCGTCTGATTGTCACTGCGTCCGAAATCCCCGCGTAACCAACGTATCATATAGGTGCATCAAAGCTTTCGTTGTCAACGTTCTCGTCTGAAGACCTTTGGAAGAAGACGGGAAGGCTAGATAGTAACAGCTCCGAGGCAAGTCCGAGACCAAATCACACATGCTCTGTGGCTCTGCCTCGAACATCTTTAACATGCAGATCACAGCTTTTCAGACTCCAAGACCGTAAGGGGGGCAAATATCTGTTGTCACCTACACATGAAGAAGAGATCACCTCTTTAGTTGGCAGTATTGTCAAATCTTACAAAGAGTTGCCACTTAGATTGTACCAAATTTGTTCGTATTGCTGCCTACATTCCGAGGCTTTCAAACGCTGACTTCGCAGCACGCAAATATCGAGATGAACCACGTCCGCGCCAAGGTCTTCTCCGAACTAGGGAATTTCTTATGAAAGATCTTTATACATTCGATGCTACTACTGAACAAGCGCTTCAGACATACCAGACAGTACGGGAAACCTATAATGCTTTCTTCAGCGAGTTCAAGATACCTTTCTTGACGGCCAAAGCCTCTTCTGGCGAGATTGGAGGCAATCTCAGCCATGAGTACCACTTTCTATCGAAGAAGGGAGACGACAATCTTGTTTGTTGTAGCTCTTGCGACTACGTCGCTAATGAAGAAGTTGCGGAAAGCAGGATCACTCGAGTTCACAGACATCCCAAAAGCGCGGACGAGGAAGGATTCACGCCCCAAGGAATGGAAAGCTCTAGCTGGAAGCAGTGGAACCCCGAATCTCAGGCAGATGATAAGGAGAACCAATGGCTTGGTATCAGCCAGGATCGCAGCACCCTAGTATACGCGTCCCTACCACAGGAGGTCGAAATCCGAGCAGTAGCTGGTAAACGGTACCGGAAGGCTGAGATCAACCCCTACGCAATGAAAAGGGTATTCCCGGAGCTCGATCTAGGCGTCGAAGACCCGTTGGCAGTTTTCAACGCTGAACGAATTCTCGGTACCACTAAAGACAAAAACCGAAAAGAAGCTCGCGTCTTACGAGTGGTCGACATGCGATATTATTTGCAGCAACCTCCCCCGGTTTGCCCCAATCCACCTCCAACTCTTATTGAAGGCGTGGAATTTCTTGTGCAGGACTGGTGTGCTGAAGCAGACAAGGTGGTCGATCTTGTCAGAATTGATACTGGCGACCTCTGCCCAAATTGTGACGATGGCAGTCTGAAAGTTGAAAGTGCTGTAGAGCTTGGCCATACGTTCCACCTCGGTACCCGATACAGCGCGCCTTTGGAAGCTACGATCGATGCAGATCTTTCACAGAAAGATCGACAGCGGGAAGTCTCCAATATCCCAGGTCAATCTGTCACAGTACAGATGGGCTGCCATGGAATTGGTGTCTCCCGCTTAATCGCAGCAGTAGCCGACTCCCTCGCAGATTCCAAAGGCCTCAATTGGCCACGAGTCATGGCACCTTTCGAAACAATTATCATCCCAACCAAAGGCTCGGAGAGCGAAACTGCTAATGTCTACGATCTGCTCACTACTAACAAGGGCCAACGTTCCCAGGAACCAATTGACGCTATCTTGGATGATCGGAAGAGAGACTTTGGCTGGAAGATCAAGGATGCGGATATGATCGGCTATCCTATAATCGTCATTCTAGGCAGAGACTGGAAGAGAGAAGGAAAATGTGAGGTACAGTGCCGAAGGTTGAATATCAAGGTGTTGGTATCTGCCGACGATCTAAAGGCTTTTGTTGCGGGGCTGTTGCAGCACCTCTGACGACCGTTGACTCCAGTCTCTGAATTGAAGGATTTCGTAAGTGGCGATGTCCCACAAGTATGTCCAACTACTGGCCAACAAGAACAGCCTAATACTCTTTTCAAGCGGACGTTGGCCTCGGGCTTGTCCTTCTTTGAATTCATAGGCGTGATCTCATGTCCCTCTTTCAAGGAGAAACTCCAGGACTACGTTTGATAATGTTAAGTCCACCGTTCCTCATGAAGATGGAATGCAAACAACATCATACTCTGGGTATTTAGTGCATACTCTCATAACGGTGGCTGCCGTTGCGATATCAGAAAGCCCGCTGGCAAGCTGCCAGCTGAGCTACTTGAGTGGAGATAAGCGGTCCGAAACGGCAGCGAGACGTAGTAGAGAAAACTTGCAGTGTTCGCACACTCTACTATCTAGCAAGACTCTATCGGCTGTCCTAATCTATGCATTTCCCCAAAACTCCCTCCCACGGTCTCAGACCAACGGAACGCTCCATTCTCTTGTCAGGCTTACCCTTTTGGTAGTTCCCCGCCATCCATCCCTCGACCTTGAGCTCGTCGGGGATGTTCCAATCGACCTTCTTGCCCGAGAAGTTCAACACCACCAGCCATTTGCCGCTCTCCTTGCCTAGCCGCAGATACGCAAACACTTCATCACTCTCTGGACCAACGGCATGGAAATCACCGTATACAAAGCAATCTGAATGTGCCTTCCGATTTGCCAGCCCTCGCTGCCAGAACTGCCATGTACTCAGCTCTTCTTCGTCGTCGGCAGATTGCTGTTTCTCTGCATTGACCTCCTTGTAGTCATCGTTCACCCTCATCCACGGCTCGACGCCGGACTCGCAGAAGCCAGCATTGGCGCCTCCATTCCATTGCATTATTGTGCGCGCATGATCTCTTGCCTTCTTTTCCAGAACTTTCCGTTCCTCTGCTAACCGCTTGGGATCATTCCCGTAAAGTTCCCTGCTTTTCTTCCAAAAGTTGATGGATTCAATATCCTTGTATTCCTTCATAATGTCCCAGGACTTCGGCACCTATCATAAGTCTCTAGGTCAACATTCTTCCATCAAGGAGTGCATTGAGTTACAAAACAGGTCTTGGGAGCGGCATCAAAGACATAAACATATTCTGCCCTCGATCATGTCTTGCGACTCAGGAAGGGATGTATGTGAGGACTAATAAACACCGAAATAAGCCATACATTTCTCATGCCCAGCTCTTCACCTTGATACACAAAGAGTGTGCCGCTCAAGGTGGTTTGCATGAGCGCGAGCAGTTTTGCACCGTGCTCGCGGTAGGTGTCGCTGTCATCGCAATATCGAGACACTGATCGTGGATTATCGTGGTTTTCCACAAAGACACTGTTCCAGCCATCATGCTCCAACATGGCTCGTTGCCACTTGGAGACTGCTTTGGCGAGATCCTTGACGCTCCATTCATGAAGGGTCATCCTGACATTCCCTGGTTGAGTATCTATCTCTACAACATCGAAGATAAATATCATATTAAGTTCGCCGCTTTTGCTTCCCACGGTGCGGATGATTTCATTGATGTCACTGACCCCAGGCATTTCGCCAACGGTGATGGCGCCAAATTTTTGCAGAACCTTGTGTTTGATCTCTTGTAAGTACTCATGCATTCGCGGACCATTCACATAGTATTGGCTTCCAGGATGATACCTGCGGTCTGGACCCAGGGCTGGCTCTGCATCAGGGAAGCGCTGGTCTTTGCTGATCAGATTGATCACGTCCATTCGGTACCCACAAGCGCCACGCTCAAGCCAGAATTTCATCACGTCGTGCACTGCTGCCCGAACTTCAGGGTTCTCCCAATTGAGATCAGGTTGTTCGGGCGTGAAAAGAGAGAGGTAGTACTCGTCTGTCTTGGCGTCATAGGTCCACTTCAAGACTTCGGCGTCAGTATGCCTTCTTTAGACTTCTGTTCGACCGAGTAGACATAGTGGAGGAGTACGGATGCTCGCTACATGTGTCTTACGACTCAAAATGCGGTACGCATAGGGGAGCGGACACTCGGACAAGCAGACTTACGGCGCTGTTCGCTTCGCCGAGGATCTGCGACCAATTATTTGGTGGCAAAGGATTTCCTGCAGCGTCTCGTTTTGGCTTTTTCCAGATATACCAGGAGCGGTTTGGATTGGTCAGGGAGGAGCGAGACTGTCGGAACCATTCATGCTGCTTCGATTAGCAAGGCGGCAGGTGACATTGAAGGCCGATGATGGCAGTACTTCATCCGATGTACTGCGAAAAGGGTTCTGGAGTCAGCACTGCCGTTTCACAAGGGAAGTCTGAGTATCGACACGCGGCTACAGAAACACCACTGCCAGGACATATCTTAAGAGTCAAGGTTGGGCCAAGTGGAAGCAATTGAGTCGCTGAATATACTTACTGGTTCACCACGAGATCCATCATCAACTTCATTCCTCGCTTTTTCAGTTCGGAGACTAAATTATCAACATCCTCAATGGTTCCATATATCGGGTCAATAGACTTGTAGTCTGCTATATCATATCCCATGTCCTACGAGGTTTTCGAGTCAGCATCTCTTTCTCAGGCGAGAATACAGCTTTCGAGTCCCGAGCGTATCATGCAACTGAAAGGTGGCTTGAGAAAGGTGGCTTGCAGCAAGAAGAGAGTGCTCCAGAATGCATACCTTTTGTGGACTCTTGTATACTACCGATGTTTTTAGTCATGCACTCTATGCAGAGAGATAGGAACTGACTTGGCGAGACCCATACTACATCTACACCCAGTTCTTGAAGGTAATCCAATTTGGAAGTGATGCCTTTGACACTGGATAAAAGTTCGTAGTGAGTATTGCCTATCTGAGGGGGTATATGGAGCGCTGAAACATGTTCCGAGAGTCAAGACTGCCAGTGCATGTCTTACGACTCAAGACGTGGATTAAGAGAGGAGTATGAACTCGGACAATACGTACTCTCCCCATCCATCTCCGTTGGTATCAAGGAAAGACGAGGGATAGACCTGATAGATGACGGCTTCTTTCCACCAAGCTTCAGACATGATGGGAAATCAGCAGCACAGGAACCAAGCAGTTACTCGTACTCGTACAGGATGAGAAATGCAATGAAAACGGTTGTAAACAATCAAATATCTGCCTTATTATGTTAGAGTAGGTTCTATACAGAGATACCTGATAAAACACGGCTTCTCTTGTCGGAAGCTCTAACAGGCGGTCCGAGAGGAAGGCGGGGGTTTAGAGTAAGTACTAGTACCTAAGCACGGATGATCGCCTACCTTATCTAGAGGACGCTAACGTAGGTAAGTAAAGTAAGGTACGTACCTACTTTACCTAAGGTACCTACCTTACCTACTTTATCTGTGAGCTGGGGCCTAAGAGACGGAGATATCAGAGGGTCTCTACCTTAGTGCCATCATGGTGGAGCTGCCCACTTCAACGGCCAAAACCACCTTCACGTCTCGGTACGAGTAACCGACAACATTTTCAAGCTGGACTACATTTCGAATGCAACAAAACAGCCGGATTGGCATGGAAAGGGCCAAGCTTGATACATACACACTGTACTTATTGCTTCAGTCCTGCGAGGAGTATGAGTAGAGAGGCCAAAGCGCTGCTAGGCGCTGACGCCTGCGCCACCAAAATTTGCAGAGAGATCACCCCTTGACCAAGCTCCTTCTTCTTCCTCTGACTGAACCTACTCGGCCATGCTCGGTGCAACATAAGCTTTCAAGAACGTGAGCGGCATATGCGACTGTGTCTATCGAAGATGATTCGATGCGGGGCCCATAGGACTACCTGCCTTCTTACACGCTGCTGGCCAGACCGAAGTTATTGCGGGGCTCTGAGCTGAAGAAAAAGAGCTCGAGTGCATTGGATTTACGAAAGAATTCGTTGTGCTTCGGAAGGGTCTACCGAGAACCTGTGTGTCTCAAACCCAGAAAGAGGGGCCAACTTTATATGGAGAAGCAACAGATTCCCCGGAACTACCAATGATGCTGGTCTGCGACCACGCGGCAAATCTCTCAAGAAGGACAATCGGGTTATCCAACCTCAGCCGTCGTACCTTCCAAGATCTGCCTATGGGACGCTGTACTTTCCCTATGCTGAGGCGCTTTGGTCGCGTCCTTCTGTCCTTGGCATCTGGAGGACTGCAATTTTGGCGGAGACCAGCTTTAGCTTCCTATCTCGGTCACATTCGCTGCTTGTGTAATTTTTCTCATCATGAGTGAGGGCGGGCTTTACTGGCCGGCAAGACGGAAGGCATGTGTTGGAATGCTATCATCCCTTGGGCCAGTAGAACGTATATCTCCTTTCTGTGTCCTTTGGTCACTCTGTTCTTTATTTAATTTAAGACAAATTTACAAGCTCAAGCTGTGCGGCAACCCCTACTGTACATCTTCGGCACGCCCTCACTTCCTAGAGCTAGAATCTCGCAAATTGTACCTTCTCATCGACTAGGGCACAATCGCACTTTCCTCTTCTCTACAATATCCTCTTAAACTCATCGTGGCCACTCGGCCATGAATATCAGCATGTGTGAGAAGCCAGTCCTATCTCACAGCTCTCCTGGCAGCATGAGCACTTCTGAAGATGGCCTTAGCCATGACGTTCCTCACCTTGAACCCATCGACCGAGCTGTCGAGAAGAGACTCATCCGCAAATGTGACCTCCATGTTATCCCAGTGCTTTCCTTGCTCTATTCATTGGCTTTCATCGACCGAATCAACATTGGTAATGCACGTCTTCAGGGCCTGGAAAAGGACCTCAAGATGAAAGGCCAAGATTACAACGTTGCTCTTTTCGTCTTCTTTATACCTTACATCCTATTCGAAGTGCCCAGCAATCTCTTGATCAGGAAGATCGCGCCCTCGACGTGGTTGAGTTCTATCATGATACTTTGGGGTATAGATCCGCTGTCTCTAGTTCACTTTACCGATCTGACATTTGAACACAGGCATTGTGACTGTTTGCATGGGGGTCACCCAGAGTTACGCTGGCCTCGTTGTGTGCAGATTCTTTCTCGGGCTGTGTGAAGCTGGCTTCTTCCCGGGTGAGATGATACGCCAAACTCGGGATCCAGACATTGCTTACATGGACTAGGGTGTATGTACCTGATGTCGATGTACTACCGCCGATACGAACTGCAATGGAGGTTCAATTTGTTCTTCTCTGCCGTCATCTTGGCAGGGGCATGGAGCGGGGTGCGTACCCTACAAGACCCTACCAGTTCCTGCCGCCCAGCCTGACTCTGTTTGCAGCTTCTCGCATACGCTTTAGCGAAAATGGCTGGGATCGGTGGCTACGATGGCTGGCGCTGGATCTTCATCATCGAAGGCCTCGCCACTTTCCTCTTCGCCGTCGTTTCCAGATTCTTCATCGTCGATTGGCCTGAAACAGCCAAGTTCCTCAGCGCCGAAGAGCGGCAGTTGCTCATCCGTCGTTTGAGCGAAGATGCGGCAGATGCTAGAATGGACCGATTGGACAGCAAAGCCAGGCGGCGTGCCTTTGGTGACTGGAAGATTTACATAGGGTATGTGCTCCACCTGCTCCCCAGTCACAGATTCCATGCGCACTCTTCCATCTTGGCTCATGAGTTCACAGAATTCTGATGTATCTCGGAGTCAATAATACGGGCTACAGCACTTCCTTCTTCACTCCAACAATTCTCAGCGAATTGGGCTGGACTGCCGTCCGTGCACAAGTCCTTTCGATCCCGATCTACATTGTTGCCGCAGTGACGTGTCTCATGTCCGCCCTCCTGACGGACCGTCTCCGCCATCGCTATGCTTTCGCCATGCTCGGCGTTGTAACCGCGAGCATTGGATACATCATCCTTCTCGCGCAAGAGTCCGTCTCGGTCGGCACTCGCTACTTCGCCGTCTATCTCGTCATGGCTGGTGGCTACATCACTCAGCCCATCACTCTGGTATGGTTGAGCAATAACATGGGCGGCCACTACAAACGGAGCATCAACGCGGCCATGCAGATTGGTTTCGGCAACTTCGGCGGCATCATCGCCAGCAACATATACGTAACGAACCAGAGACCTCGATACCCGGTCGGTTATGGAGTTTCACTGGCACTGATCTGGATGTGTGGAATCGCTTGCACAGTCTTTGCCATTGGTCTGAGACTTGAAAACCAGAGGAGGGAGAGAGGCGAGAGAGATGCCAGGCTGAGTCTACCCAGAGAGGAGGTAGAAAACCTTGGCGATGACCATCCTAATTTTCGATTCACCTACTAGGTGGGGATGTAGCTTAGTGTTGTTTCCAATGGGTGGCAAGAAGGAGCTCCTGGGTCATGTGGTTGGAGGGAGGGAAAATGAGCCGGACAAGTGCGGTGCTTGAGAGGTGCATGGGTATTGCGTTCGCATTGCAGGAGTAGAGTACTCTGATACACATGGGATGAAGCGCTTGTCATTGTCTTCCGTGAAGCTTTTCGGCTCTCTTTCGGAGCAATGACGGCGGGAAATGTTACACGTATGCAATCTTTTGACGATGATGATATATATAACTGTATTCTCGGTTCAACGTACACATATGTCCCACAGCTATTTGGTAAGCGATTCCAAATACATGGTCAGTCAGAGTCGGTCTCCTTGCCGCGGCATGCAGTGTTGAGTGTTGAGTGTTGAGTACTGAGTCTTGAGTACTGAGTCTTGAGTACTGAGTACTGAGTGTTGAGTGTTGAGTGTTGAGTGTTGAGTGTTGAGTGTTGAGTGTTGAGTGTTGAGTGTTGAGTGTTGAGTGTTGAGTGTTGAGTGTTGAGTGTTGAGTGTTGTTGAGTGTTGAGTGTTGCGTCTTGCATGCTGCACATGCAGAGGCGAATCGCCGGTAATTCGGTAATCGAGATTCGAGGATCGAGATGGATTCATATCCGGAGAATTTACACGATCGACACGATCGACACGGACACTAGGAGAATAGACTTTTCAGCTTGGCTATTAAGGTACACCTACTTTACCTGTATGGCATTCATCACTTTGTCAATAATTTCCGCGGATCAGTTACTTGCTTGCTTGCTTGCTTGCTTGCTTGCTTGCTCGAGCTGGACCATCGCTCTGCTCAATGCAAGTCATGGCTCTTCAGAATGTACATGTAGGCACCGTTTCAGCCTTGGCCCAAGTTGCCTTTTGTTAACAGTCACTCAACAGAGATTAAGACTTTATTATCATGTTATTATCATGTTGCTAAAGTATTAAGTATTAAGTATTGAGGTATTGTTCTTTGGCATACAAGTAAGGTACATAATAATACCTTAGCCTAGCTCTGTCAGAACAAGGGACCATGAAGCTTGTTCTCCGCCAGCGAGTCAGCGACAACCTAATGTAATGTAATGTACAAGACCCATCTGCCAGCCGAATAGTACCATGGTACTTGTACATTGTTAAAGTACTTCATCCTTGCCTTCCGCTCTCCATCGCCGCCCTCCACCACTCCCTCAATCCATCATCCATCATCCTATCATGTCCTCCCAAATAAATTGCTCCGTAGCATAAGTGCACTTCACCTTTACACACTTACCATGACCTTCCAACAAGAGGCTGCATCATGGATCTTCCCATCCCGGCTCTCCACATCTCCCATACCATCCATTGCCGTTAACGCCCCGTCCACATCAAAGCTCCCACTTCCCAACCCCAATGTGAATCCCACAATTATTACCTTCCTCCGCCACTGCGGGTGCCCCTTCGCCGAAAAGACCTTCCTATCCTTTCGTGCGGCGGCCTCCGCGCACCCATCCATCAACTTCGTCGCCGTCTCCCACAGCGATCAGTCCGCCACGAACAGATGGCTCGAAGCCGTTGGCGGCGCCGACCATGTCCGCATCATTGTGGACAGTGAGAGGGAGCTATTTGCACGTTGGGGTCTGGGCGTGAGTAGCTTCTGGCATGTTTTGAACCCAGCGAGTATGTGGAGCGTGTATAGATTGGGAAAAGAGCAAGGAATTGTAAGCAACGAGCTCCGCATTTCCTTTCCTAACCCATGGCCCCATGTGCGTCGCCGGGCACGCTGCGGGAGTATGTCATCTTCAAAAGAAAGTTACTGATTGAAGGTGCTGCAGTGGAATAGGCCTACGGAGAGTGGGAGTAGATGGCAAACTAGCGGAAGCTTTGCTGTGAATAGAAACGGAGTGCTCAGATGGGGAGGGGCTGCTGAGAGGGCTGACTTGATACCGGACTTTGAGGAAGCTGTGAAGGCCGTGGAGGAATGATTCAAAAGGTCGAACGAAGGCTACGAGCACGACGCGAGGAGACGGGCAATTTTGGACAACGGCCGGCGAATGCCCAAAAAGCGCCGTCTACAACGCATGATGGCAAGATTATAACGTACCTCGGGAGCGAGGTTCCCTACCAAAAGCGCTGTCTTCCCAGGATGACGAGGCCGTGTATCTGCTTGAGACACTTTGTGAGCTCGTAATGATCCATCAGCAATATGGTCGGCAGATATGGTGTCGTAAGACGCAACGGGCCATAGCGCCATCAATCAAGAAGTATGAGTGGAACCGGCTGATTGGCTCATGCTACATGTCGCTGCCTGGCTACGCAACCAGAAACACCTCTGTGACCGACTTTCTGGCTCTTGTCATCCTTCCGTCATCGAAATCGATTGGTCGCTTCTGATTCGAAAATAATGACATTTCGTCAGCGCACTAACGCTGCAGCTAGGACTGACTCGCATCAGGGGGCCAGGATATGATTGATCCATTGCTTATTCCAGCTCTGCCATCGTATTGGGTATCACTCTGAGGGCATGATCTGCTCAGGATGACAGTGGATGAGAAGAACAGCATTCGCGCCTCTTGCACAGTATATACACTATCCTTCAAAATCTCAGTCTTTCCCACAGTGCTCACCAAACCCATCCGTTCGCGAACGCGCTCCGCAGTGTTACGGTCAGTGCCTTCATAGCATAGGCACAGGCACAGGCACAGTCAGTACCAGGACCCGGATCCACTCCCATTGCAAACCAGTTGGTCTCGATTGGTCTCGCTACAAACGACGTTAGGGATTCCCCGTCTCTTGATCGCTGTGTTGGCGCGCAATCGGCCCACCAAGCCACATAATGGAACGTAAACAGGAGGGAAGTCGGGTTCAGTCGGCATGTCACCAGTGCATCGAAGGCAATGCTCCATGCAACGGCCAAATACCTTGCCACCGCTGCGGACATTACTCACTGGATTGCGTTTACCTCAATCAAGCTCAGCCACCTTGTCTCGAATGCAGTCGGACCGCTTCTGAATGCGATGGCGAGACGCCTTGCCAACGCTGCAGACAACGAACCGTGCAGTGCGTGTATTCTACCAGAGTGGACTGGGACCAAAGAGCGAGTGCGTCGGCAGTCGTGGCTAGCCAATCGGAGGAAGCTTGGCTTGAGCAAAACTCATTTGGGTCCCGACCAGGGGAAATAGAGACCAGACCATCGGCAGTTGCTGTTAGGCTTGGAGATAGCCAGGCAGCTTTGGGGGAAGGAGAGACAAGACATGATACTCGCGAGCCAGACTCGTACTTCATAATGGAACATAACAAGGGCATAGACGAAGACCATTTATCGAAATTTAAGCCGGACAAGAAGGAGTGGAAGATGGACAGGAATGTATAGCAGCCGCGACTCTGAAGAACAGCGAGTGAGCTTGGGCATGGGCATGGATTGTGGTTCTTCGTAAGGGATTGGAGTCATGGCCAGGCGTGGCCGGTCCATCAAGGGGAACAGGGAATTTCCGTTCTATCGATCAACATGCTTCTAACCCCTAGATACTTACAAAAGAGTTTCCAAATTTGCGTCTACTGTGGAAGTGTTCGTGTGCATCGCTGTTCTCTTTTTTGCCGTGAAACCTGACCGCATTTCAACTCCCAGGAACGATCTTCTGCAAGTCGAAAACTCTATCAATGAAGAAGTCGCCGGCTTATGATTGTTGTGAGAATTCACCACCATGTATTGGAGGATTGATTTGGCCGTCGACCTATCCTTAATATTTACGGACGGCCCACTCGGAGGCACTAAACTCTGCCTTCCATGGATTCCTCAAGCTTGAAGCCTCAAAACCAGCAGTCATGCTCAAAGCTTCGAACCAAGACCGTACGGGTATAGAAGCTGGTTGAGCCGCGACATTGGCAGAATCTGGTTGATGGTGCCTTCAGGTGACTGTGTTGACCGACTATTTTTCACTCCATCTCTGACTCATTTAAATTCCCCCCTCCATGAAACATGTATCGTTGAGTGGTAGCACACTGGCCATGCGTGTCCGTAGGTTTGCACTCGCATGTTAAAGCACATTCTCACAGGTGTTCGGCATCGTAAATATGATTGTCTATGTCCCATCCCTGGATGATTTGCCTTTCGCTTCTCAATATGATACTGATTCATATGGGCTGTTTCTCTCCTTTTTGTCCCCTTTTGTTTTGGATGTTTCAATTTCAATACTCGCCTCATGTCATTCTTCAAATACATTTCGGCACTCGTCAGTCGATGAAAAGCTGGCTGGAGGACCGGAGTATTCCCACCCTTTCATCCCCTGAAGGTGCAGAGCCCCGAGAACCAGTCGATCCAGCCAATCCCCCTTTCCTTTCCCGGTCGATGATCCGCCGTGTCCGTGTTCTCAGGCCCAGATCCTTGCGACCTGCCCACAGCGTCCATAGCGTTCCGCTCCTCTGCCCCTCCCTCCTCCCCTGCATTGGTCTTCCTTGCGCAAATGGCCCTCAGCACGACGCCGAAGTCGCCCTCTTGCTTCCCGAAGTAGCTGATCATAGCTCAGCTGAGATGCATCGATAACCCCTCTCGGCAACGGACTCACCTCCTCATCATCAATCCTATCCGCCTGACCTGCCCCTTCTTCAACTCCCCGGCATCTTCCTTCTCCTTGCCTCGAAACGTAGCCTTGAATCCCTTCCACGGCGCAAAGAACCTCGTCACATCGCCGCCGCCCTCGCCCTCCTCCCCTCCGACCTTGAAATCCACCTCCCAATTGATCCCGGCCTTCTCTCTCCCGTCTCCCCTCTTGCCGGCCGCCTCCTCGTCTTTCAATATCAAGGTGTAAATCTTCCCGTCACCTTTCCCCCCCACGACCTCTACCTCGATGCCATCGTAAGCACTCAAGTCCCAGCTTCGCTCCTCATCCCCGCCGTCCTTGTCGGTCCCCGCGGCTTCTGGAGGGCTGAATTGCGACGCGAAGCCCGCTCCGCCTAGCGTGGATGTGTCGAGATGCCCGTGGAAGTTTGCGCAGTTGTCGGGGAGGGCGGAGAGGTAGGATTGGGAGGCGCCGCCGCGAACTCGGTCGTCGGTTGTAGTCCAGGGTGGGGGGAGCCAGGGTCTGACGGAGTTAGGATATGGGAGAGAGGAAAGGATTGACCGAGGGGACACATACTTGGTTGAGCCGAAAAGGACGTAGGGTTGAAGTGTGGTGTTCATTGCGCATACTGTGGGAAGATAATTAACATGATGGAGCAGTTCAGGTCAAATGATGTCTACAATAAGTACTACAATAAATATAGGTGCTCGAGCATTCCGAGATACTAGATATCTTTTGGCCTTTGCTAGTACCCGACGGCCTTCTGTCTTCTGCTTGCTGTCCAAGTGTTGCTATTGCATTGAAGAGTGACGGAGCGGCATCAAAGTTGCTGGGGGCAGAACGAAAGCACGCTATCAATTCAGTGCCACAGCATATGCCATTTCACCGGAACCACCAGTTCACAGATCCCGTGATACCGTCGTCTACGCCCTTGACACTATGCCACCATCCTTTCGGGATGAATAGACCGTCGCCTCTCCCAACATGTGCTTCATATCCACCCTCGCCGGCCTCGTCCAGAACGGAAGTGTCATTCCAGACTTGGTCCTCGAGCAATCTCATTTCCTCCCCCTTCATCATATCTTCCCCTCTGAAGGCTGCGGATCCTGATCGGCCCAAAGCATTTTGGACCTGTTCGAAGACCTTGTCCCCGATCTCTGGGGGCAGGATTCGAACAATCTTATGACCGGCGAGTTGTACAAAGAGGTTTGGGTCTTCAAGATTGTTTCTGGGTCAGCATTCCTTCTGTAAGTAGAGATTTGAGACGTGAAGCATGTCAGTCAGAGCAACACACTCTCAAGACATGTCTTACCACTCAAAACGGGGTAGAGGTTGAGGAGAAACCACTCCGAAAAGTGACTCACTAGGATCACGATGGAGTGGTGTGTAGGTGGGTGGAATACCCATCCAGATATTCGTATCATAAATATCGCCTATACCAGAATTTGCCACGATCTCAGGCGTGGGCAAGTCCACTTTCAAAGCTTCTGGTAGATTAGAAAAAGAAGCCTGTGCGAGATACAGTCGCTCTGAAGTCTCCCGGGATGCAGATTTGGTCCATTCCAGGAATATGTACAAAGGCACGTCGGCCCGCTGGAAGGAGTCTTCGTACTGGTTCGCGGCAGATGCTGTAGACAGACGTGTAAACTCTAGAGGCACGATGGCATCACCGAACTTGCTGAGATGTGAGTAGTTGAGAGCCACTCCTCCCGTCCCATCTTGGGTGGTGCGGAACCACTTCTGTATGCTTGGAAGTGCAATGAAATGTGCTTTGGGTAGCAGAGCTGGCTTCGACGGGATAAAGGCATTATCGCGGAAGGTGTGCAAGCTGCCATCTTCCAGAGTGCGCAGTGAACGCCATCTTGCCGTCAAAGTGTAGATAGGACGAAGATTGATTCTGGGCAATGCGGTTCGTACTATGGAAAGGTTGTGGATCATCAGGAGGTTGGAGAGCCACTATTCGTATAGAAGGAGCCTCTGCAACCCTTGCCCAGAAGGATACTAAAGCTCAGCTGCGTTCCAGTTATCCCTTGATGCAGGCTAAGACGGTGGCACCAATCATGGTGACGAGCGTAGAGGTAAGTACCTTACGGTAGCTGGGTTGCATTTGGCTAGTGCGGCTTGGCGCACAGTGCCGTTGCTGGAGGGAAGTACAAGTAGAGTACCGAGAGTACATGACTGCTCCCTAGATCCTAGATTCACTACTTTGATTCGTTGTACAAGTACCAATATCACGATAGCAGTAGCAATACAGGTGGGAAAGGATTATTACTGCGGCCTCAAGAGAGCCATGATTCACTTTCTTGGGCCATGTTTCGCGGACAGGTCTCGGGTACAGATAGGGGTATCAATAGGGTCTACAAGTAGACGCTCAGAAGACCCTTTAGGATTTCCGGACGTAGATACTCCTTCCAGTCCTATTGACTCAACGTACCTTCTTCCAGTCTGCTCGATGGTCCTCGTGACCATGTAGGGACCTAAATCAATGATGGAACTATGGCCCCAGGTTAGCCATGATCTGGCAATCTTTCATATGATTTGACTTACAAGCCGCACGCTCTGCTCGACGAACGTGATATTCAGCTTTTCGCAAGCAGCGAATATATCCTGGTCTGCCACACTGCCTGTCGGACACGCAACATAGTTTACTCCGCTTCTGGACGCCCTGTATACGTTATCCGTAAAAGGGAACTAGGTACAAACATATAAATCAGCATGCGACAATGTAGAACCAAAATTCGGAGAAGCTATCCTTGGCTAGCTTACAAATGCATCTGATGACACGGCCACTCCACTCAATTGGCTCAACCATTCTTCCCGTTCTTCATTCGTGAATGCCACAGGTGCCCTGTTGGTGTCGAAGTTCTGCAAGAAATCTTGTGTTTCAATGTCTGACTTCGATAATTGCCCCAAGCGTCCGCTACAGAGCATGTCGATAGCACTGCAAGATACTCGAGTCAATATCTATCAACTGAGGTTGGAACCGAGGTATGGAACTGCTCTGAGAAGCCGAGGTTCTTAAAGGAGGCCTCGTAACTTATAATGAGGGTAGCAGGAAGGAAACTAACGAACAGGAGAAACTCACTTGCTTTTGTCGGCACGCTTGATTCCTTTCTTCCATTGCAAAGTACTTGTTCTTTCTACCCAATTTCGGAGTCAGCATGTCTTCTTCAAGCCAGGGTTTGAACCAAAAAGCCGTTGAAATGACTTTGCAGTCGCCAGACATATCTTGAAAAGGAAGGAATAACTGCAGAGGGGTGGATACCGTGAAACCTCATCCACCAGTTGTCGGCCTTGTCACCCGCCAACCTCGTACAATGAATGCGTGATTGCTGTCCAGCGCCTTCGAGGGAAGATAAGCTTCATCGATGTGTTTTGACAGAGCCAACCTGGCTTACCTAGTCCAATGACCTGGCCATTAAGAGCTACAGGATATTCGAAATTCAGCACGTCTCTCTCAAGACCCATGAAGAGTTGCGAAACAAGTTTGAGGGGTACGTGGAGAGTCCTGTCATGACTTTCGACATCGCTAACTCAAAGGGTACGTACCGTAGCATACTGAATTGGATTGCGTGTATTTGACGGCAATGGTCTGTTGAACAGATGGAATCAGCGTCAGTCCTGCAAATTTACAGCTGAATCATAAGACATGTCTCGAGACTCATTAGAAGCCGAAATACGTTCTCGCTCTGGAAATATGTTTCGCGGCTCAGATTCAACGGCGGACTGGGCAAGATGGGCTTTGAGAACTACGTACCGCAATTGTCAAATCTCGAAGAGCTACAGAAAAATTTAGAGTCAGTATCTAGAATCTCGAGGACAAGTAGAGGTCGAATGCTTGCGGGAGATGTCTCGTAATTGGCCTTAGGGCATTGCAAAATCACTCACCGGACTCTGGGAGCGGCGGGCAGTCTTTGGGAGTGATGATGGCATTGAAGGTATCCTTTGGGCTAATTTTGACGTCATTTCGAGGTTGCTAATACTCTCAAGGTCAGTAATACTCTTGGGCAATGAAGGATCTCGATTCCACTGTAACACGACTCATGTTCGGTACCGATCAGGGCTGGAGAAGACCGGGCAAAAGCCTACCTGCAGCTGTAGTCCGTAGACGGTCCGACTTTCAGTTGTAGGAGGCTCGTACGCCTCGTCCATCTGCAAGATCATGTACCTTCGCAAGAATGAGTGGACATAACCGTTCATAGGCTCCGAAACTTACTTTCCGCCCTTCTTTCTCGACAGTATGTCGAACGCTTCTTTAGAATACCCAGGAGCAATCACACTAAAGAAAGATTGAAGGTCAGCGCATATCTTCAAGCTCCAAATGGAGGACGAGACGCTTCTCTAGAATCAAGCAGCACCCAAAGACATGAGGTCGATATGTTTTTAATGTTGTTGGTAGAACACGGGATAAACTTCACACACCCATCGGATACTTCGCGCGAGATAATCTGTATTGGGGTTTTGGGTCAGCATTGCCATTCACTATAGACACCAGGGTTGCAAGCTAAGGCTAGTCCCTGAGTTGGTCACACGTACCTTTGCAGTCGGGACATCCACAGAATCTGAGAGCGCAACAATATCTCCAAAACTTGACCTACGGCGACGAGTCAGCATCTTCAGATCAAGGCACAGAAAAGAGAGATGAAATATCTTTGAGAAGCATATACTCCTAAAACGGATGCTTTGCTCTCAAACATGATTTACGGCTCGGACAGTGTTACAGATGGGAAAAGAGCCGTACATCCTGTCAGCTCCTCTCGCGCGTGCATAAGCCATAGCCAGAGCCGAATCCGAAAGTCCTTCAATATCTGCGACCATACAGACTTCTTTCTCTCTCTCCGTCAAGGCAACGCCAACAGCTGCCCCGGCCGGCGAGACATGCTTGAAGCTTGCTGCTGCTGGGAGACCCAGGGCTTGCTTCAGCTCTTTCACCAGAGGCCAAGCATTAAGCGAGTCCAGCAGATTGATGTATCCAGGTGCTCCATTCAGTACTTTAAAAGGCAGTGGACCGTCTTTGCTGAATGCTGCTGCAAATTTCTGATGCGGGTTTGCTCCATATCTTAAGGACAATTGTTGGATGCCGTCTGAGGCATACTTCTTGCGAAAGAAATCTGCTATTGTAGTATCGAAGTCTGCAGTCTGTTCAAAAGCTTTGAGAGCGTAGAGTTGGCGACTTCTCTCAGTGACCTCGCCCTTGTCCATCGCTTGCAAGAATTCGGCATAATCTTGTGGATCTGACAGCACACAGACGCGAGCATGATTCTTTGCTGCGGCCCGGAGCAACGTAACGCCTCCTATGTCGATGTCTTCCACGGCTTCCTCTATTGTGACGTTGATCTTTGCAATGGTGTCCTTGACTATAGTACTTCCGAGTCAGAATATCCTTGGGCCAAGATTTGACTCATATGATACGGCTCAATAGTAACATCGTCCGTTGGGGCTCGATGATCGTTAAGATAAAAAAGTTGGATCCAAGATGTTGCTTACACGGATACAAGTTGCAGACAACAAAATCCACTTTGTCTATACTTTGCTCGGCAAGGTCCTTTTCGTCACTCTCTGAGTTCGTGGACAGGATACCCGCATGAACTTTTGGATGCAGGGTCTTGACTCTCCCTTT